TCTATTTTTGCTTTTGCTTTGTCTGAGATCAGGATTGCTACCCCTGTTTTTTTTTTTTTTTACTTTAGCTGAAGCTTAATATATTCTGCTCCAGCCTTTTACCTTTACCCTGTGTGGGTCCTCTGTTTCAAATGTGTTTCCTGTAAACAACATATTGTAGGATTATAGTTTTTAATCCATTCTGCTATCCACTTCCATTTTATGGGAGAGTTCATCTCATTCACATTCACAGTTATGATTACTGTTTGTGTCTTTCCCTCAGTCCTGCCTCCCTTCTATTAGCCCCTTCCCTTTTCTTGCTTTTTACCTTTACTACTTCTCCCCTCCCTTTTCTTTCCCTTTTCCCTCCTACTGCCTATAGGGTAAATTAGATTTTCTATACCTAACTGATTATGTTATTCTCTTCTTGAGTCAAATGTAATGAGAGTAAGGTTCAAACAATGCTCATCTCCCTCCCTTCTTTCCTTTTGCTGGAATAGGTTTTTGTGCCTTTTCCTATAATGTAATTTACCCTTGTCTGCCTCCTTCTTTCCCTTTCTCTCAGTACATTTTCTTAGATCAGATTAATCGACTTACTTGGATCCATTTAACCCACTTGGTTAGATTTTTTTTATCATTACATCAAAGTCAACTTATACCCACACCCTTTATGTATACCCCTTTAACATGTTGTAATAACAATACAGTTCTCAAGGGTTACAAGTGTCATCTTCCCTTGCAGGGATGTAAACAGTTTGCCCTTGTTAATAACATGTTTCTTTCTGTCCCATTTACTTTTTTATGTCTCTCGAGTCTTGTACTTGAAGATCAAATTTTCTTTTGAGCTCTGGTCTTTTCATCAGGAAGGTTTGGAAGTCCCCTATTTCATTGAATATCCATCTCCTCCCCTGAAAGATCATGCTCATTTTCGCTGGGTGATCATTTTTATTTTAAAGCATTTATTCATAGATGTCTGAGCTTGTTTACCAGATCTGGAGGCCTTATTTCCTTCTGTTGTTCCTGTTTTTCCTATTGATTTATCTGTGTTTAAGGTCTTTACATTTTCTCCTTCTGAAATCTTCGGAACTTTCAGCTTTTCCTCCCTTTATTTCCCTTATCATTTGCTTCCTGACTCCCTCTCCTCTCTGACTGTGGTTTCCTTGAGGCCTGGATCCCAAAGTGTTTCAGCCTCCTCCTACACTGGGCAATTCATAGTTCATATCCTTCATCTCTTGCACAATTGACTTGAATGGTCAGAACTGGCCCCAGTTAGATGCTGTACTCTTCCCCTCAGGCTTGGAAGCCCCTTATATGCCCCCTGGTGACCTGTCCCACTCCCTCAGTTCCTCAGTTCTCTTACCTGGTAGTTCAGAGCCTGTTTTATCTGGCATTAGCTGTTCAGAATTTTGTATTATTGGTGCTTGCAGGTTATTGACCCTGGCAGGCTTTTGTTCCTGAAGGGCTGTGAAGCTGGCAGTTGAGGCCTGAGCAAACTACTGCAGTCTGAAGCTGGGGTCTCCATGACACTGGAAAGAGAGAGGAGGGACTGGGTTGTAGGGATGGGTTTTGATGTAAGCCTGTGTTGTGCTGTTGGGTCTATTAACAACGGCCCTGCTGTTGGCAGCATGACAAGTATGGGAAGGGCACTGAGTGAATTAATGGTCAGTGAGCATCAGTTTCTGTGTTTTTGAAGTTTATTTATACCTTCTTTTGGATTCTGGCTGTCCTAGACCATGAAGACAGCTAAAGTTGCTTCAACTTTGGTGCATAATTTGTTCTGGAAATGTTTGAAATGTCATTGGGATTGGGGAAAATGTCATCTGCCATGTTGCCTGTATGACCTGCAAATCCTCAGAGCCATTTTCTATACCCAGTGGAACTTTGTTCTTTCTTCATCAAACGATTAGTTTGTCTTTCAACTAAAGGTTCCTTTTTGGCATCTCTTCTCTCTCATGCCTTGTCCTTTTTCTGGAATCCCCATATCTTGAATCATTTATATCTGGAATTTGGCTTCCTAGCTGATTAACATCTACTTACCTGTGATATCAGAAATCGGAAACCAATAAGATTTCTTTGAGTGAAATCTCTCCACTGATCAGTATGAACCTCTTGGCTCTCTTCAGTGTCTCATAACGCATGGAGTCACAGACCCACAAGTTCCCACCAAGAGATGACAAATGATGCCCATTGTCTGGGCGCAGCTTCTAGATTTCATCATTTTGCCCTGGCCTGAAAACAATGTGCCTGTGATATTCTGGTGATATCTGTGATTATACCCCTTTCTACTTCCACCCCCTATCCTGTTTTTGAAAGTGTTGGATACTGCCCCACTTTGGGGGGGAGAGTGGATTCTTCCCCAACATTTTCACCTAACTGCCCCACCTTTCCTCTCTGTGCTCCTTTAGGAATCTCTTTTCAATCATATAAAATAAAGAGACTTACTGCTTTTAGCATGGATTGAATAATTTAATTCTTCTGTGAAGCTTCTTTAAGTTGAAACAATGGACTAGAATATCTCATTATTTCACCCCTGCTTCTAATCCACCTGGAAGGAGCCTAGTGTCTACACGGAGACTAAAGTGGTGCTCAGGCTAGGAAGATAAGCTTTAGGAAAGCTGTATCAATGTCCAGCAGAGTTCTGTGTTTGCTTTTGCTTTCAAAGCAGGCCTGTCTTGCAGATGAAAACGATATATGGATAAGCCAATACTAGAATAATATGAAGGAAAACAAGCCATAAAATTTATTAACTTTAAAACTTCATATGTATATAATAACCACTGACCCACATTAAAAAATACCGTGCACAAAGCTGAAAGGGGTGATGGGAGACCTCTCTGGTTACCACAGACTAGACATAACCAGAGGCCCCATGAATCCCCCTGCCATCCAACAGATTTCCCAGTAGTTGCCATAGAACTGGAGGAGGAGGTGAGTGTTAAGAACAATCTTTGAGGAAGGGGTACAAGTGCTCCCCCTTATTCCATGATAGCTAAGGGTACTCTGGACAAGCCAACCATGGGTAGGTACTATGTGGATGCAAAAAGTTCTTCTGGAAAGATCAATGGTGGAAGACTGTTTTTAATTGTTGATTTTTGACTTTTAACACCAAGTGTTTAAATTACTTTGAAAATAATTCCTTAAAGATTTATTTGGTTCTTTTCTACTTTATAAACATTGATTACTTTTTCTTCCTGGCCCTATGGGGTAGAAAGGAAAGCAGAGTTATAACTGCATACACGCCCCTGACTTGGGCTTTCTCTGTGCCCAAATGCTCCTCTGAGATATGACTTGAAGCTTGGTTGAGGAATGCTTCTGCATAGCACCAAATCCTCATTAGGATTCTGTCAAATCTTTCCAACTGGCAGGGATAGGATGACATGGGTGTACGTGCAAGGGATGGAGGTAGGGAGTGAGATGGACTCTTTTCTACTTTATAATTTAAAAGTCCAGAAATGGTCACTTAACAACTGGGACACTCTACATGCAGGCTTAGGTCTCAAAGTTCCAACAATTCCTTTACCTCGATATATCAATATGTGTGTGTGTGTGTGTGTGTGCATGCACATGCACACACACATACATATTTACATTTTTATCAGACTAAAATACAGATTAAAATGCCAAAACACAACACTCAGATGGTAATGAACAAGTTGGATTATTCATATCTATATCTATATATATACATATATACATATGCCCTCCCCCAGAAGGAATTCAAGATCAACACTCAGAAAATAATAAGGAACAACCAAGGGGGGCTGGCTTATGGAAAAGGAGATATAGGTGTAAAGGCACTGCTGGAAAACAAACTTTGCACTTCCAAATGGTCCATTCGCTAGCTAATAAAAGAAGGAATTAAAGCTGTAGTAACTGAGTGAAACAAGGTAAGTGTTTGGTTGAGACCTTGAAATGTCGTTCTTCCAAAGATTGCCAGATTTCCAGAATCTGGGGCTTACTGAAGAGTGTAAAAAGACCACTGAATTAAGGAGGAAGAGGGTCTATCAGTTTGGTCACCTTTGTGAAAGCCTCTGTCAAGCTGAGTTTTTTGGGGGTAGACTTGGTATCCCTGTTAAGCACAGCTAATCCAGGAGAATGGAGTTTATCCACGGCCAGTGAGCCACACAGGCTACTGAGGGTGAGGTGGCTAAGGATGCCAAGGAGGTCTACTGGTTTTACTGAAGAGAATGGCTTTGGCTTGTTACTCATATTTCAGTTCCTTTCACATTGAAAAAATGGTCCAAATCTCCAAGACCTGGTGGAAATTCAAAACTTCCCTAGATTTCCCCTTTCCCTCTTTGCATCCTTCCTCCCTCCCCCATTATCTATACCTAAAGAAGAATAGGACTGGCTTGGTTTCCTTCACAGAAGTGACCTTTTATTCTGCAATCGAAAGCAAGTTTTCAACCTTTCAAATGAACAGCTGTATCTGAGGATAAAGTTCTGGTGGCAGGGAGAGAGAAGAGGAAATTCTGGAGATAACTACAAATTTAGTGCATATGAAAAAATATGGAAGAAATAAAATTTTCTCTTCTCATTTCTTCAAAGCATAGAGCAATGAGACAAAGCCTGGGGGTCCAACCAAAAGGGATAATCCATACGGAATAGCTTTGGGCTCAAACTAATAATCAAATTACTTACACCTTCCTAGTTCCAAAAACTTCAGATCCACAGTACAGCAGAACAGGGCAAATTTAATCCAAGATTCCAGGGAGGTCCTTACAACAAGCAGTTTTATAAATCTGGAACTATTGTCACAGTGAGACCTCTGCATAGCTGGCAAGCTTAATTTTAGCTGCCAAAGCTGATCTACAGAGGCTTGATCTCAGCTGAACTTTGGGGCAAATGAAAGGCAGAGTTAGAAGTACAAGAGGTCTCTGTCTGGTACAGAGGTAAGCCTGGTAAATAGGTCCCTAGGATACCTGGTAGGGATTCAAGTCCCTACAATGCAATATTTGTACTTCCCCATCACTGACATCCACAGTTTTGGAGATCATAGAAATGTTAACCTTACAACAGGGATAGATGGAGCCATTCAGCCTTTAGAACTCTGCTGCCATTTTTCTACTCATACATCATCTTCCCTTACACAAATGCATGAAACATATAACAGAACATCTGGTTGAGCTCAAACAGATTATATGTACATAATTAAATGCTGGTGGGGATTCTGTACCCTAGAGATTTTCAGTTTAAAAAATATATAGAGATTAGTCTTATTGCCTATGGGAAATGGTGGTGACCACCAAATAGTGTAAACTGGTAGGAAAATTGCTTCAGGTTTATTTCCTCTTTGGATTTTCCCCCTGAATTCAGAGGCAACCATTCAATGCTTCCAGGTTTCTATAGTATTCATTCATATATTATGGTGTAGTTCAGAGGACTGACTTGTATTCTTTCCTCATTTATTCCTATGGGCCCCTCTTGCCAGATAGCAGACATTTACAGGCTATTCCCTGCTGAGCTTCCTTAGGGCCTGTCCATTAGTGTTGCTGGGAATAAGAAAAAGAACCCTTCTTTACTGAGGCTTAAAAAACTCAGCTTCAGAATTAAAAGACTAAATGTGGAAACCAGCTGGTGGTGAAAGAAACAGAGAGTGTGAAAGAGCCTGTCCTTTTAGAATAGCCTGTGTTACAAAAATGCTTCTTTTTAATTAAAGAATGATATCTGAACAAAAACCAACTTTCTCCTTGTGTACAGAAGACAGAGAAAGAAATACACTCTGGAAATGATGCTGGACAGACAATGGATTCTGAGATGAAGAAATAATGTCTTATGTTAATTTTCTAATCATTGCTCAGCACATGAAAAACTATTTTTTAAAAAAATATAACACATTTTGATTAGACTGACCAAACCTTAGATTACTAGCATGATCTCTCAGTTCCAAATTTAACAGGGTGCTAGTGAAATAGATCCCTATGAAAGGAGTGACACAGTTACTTTTCAATCAAATAATTTAAAATGATTTTGTGGAGAAATAAATCCATTGCAGAGGCAGGGACATAAAATCCTAATTCTTGTGGAAATCCTGCAGCTCATGCTTCAGCATCAAATGAAGAAGATTTCTTCTAGGATCCGACTCTCTTCCAGCTCTTCATATGGCCCACACGCCCTTGAGGCCTGGGTTAGCTTTCGGGGGCAGACCTGGACCGGTCTCTGATTCCAGGCAAAAGCTTCCCTTAAGAGAGGCGGCCGTGGTCTAGGAGCAGAGCTGGAACTCAAGGAATGGACCAAGTCCAACAGGGTGGTATTGTACCTGTGAGGAAAAAAACACATACAAATGCCCAAATCATTAGAGTAGGCAAACTCTCCTTCCAGAGAAAGACGGCTGCTTTGTGCAAGATCTGGCTCACATATTGAGGAGATGGGCAGAGGAGCAACTGTGTGAAAGTGAAGAAACAAAAAAGGCTTTAAAAGCCTTTCTGAGTTCTTTCCTTCTGAATATCAGAATATCCCCTTTTTGCCTCAGAGATTTCAGACACTGAGCAACTTAATCTGAAGACAGAAAGAAACTAAAGGTGAGAGACCATTTTTCTGTCCAGCAATCTCATCAAGGGAGAGCTTGACTGAAGTCAAAAGACCATACAGCTTGGAGGTCATGTCTCGGTCAGTTACACAACCCTCCTAGCCTCTAATTTAAGGACAGGTTATATTCGCCCCCAGAGTAGAATGGTTGTGAATCATACAACAATCTCCTCTTACTATAAGTCATAATAGGGCTTTTAGACTCCAAAAAAGCCTCATTTTGGCTAATAGTTGTAGCTTCTTCCTCCACCAAATCTTTGTTAGTGAACAAAAAGTGCTTATTCTGTACCTTGTATATTGATGGTTATCAAGAAATAAATGTTGAATGAATGAAATCAATGAAAAAGAAGCAGTAGGAAGAAGTGATAATCTTGGAAAATCAATTAGGTAATCAACCAGTCCCTAGATGCTGTTTATTTCCTATGTACAATTCAGCCTAGTAGTCAAGATCTTTCACAATTTGATTACAACCCATTTTCTTCAGTTTTCTTTCCAAATATTCCCCTATACTTATTGATCCTCTGCTCTAGTGAAACTGAACTTTTGGTCATTTCTTTAACATACTTTGTCCTTTTTCACTTTCATATCTTGGTTCATGTTATCCTCTATTTCTCATTCTCATGGAATGTCCTTTACCTAAATTTATGCTGGTGAAAATCTTACCTGACCCATCCTTCAAGATACAACTCAGATGTGGCTGCCTCCTCTATGAAGCTTTCCCTTAACCCACAGAACTCCAATAATACTATGAGCTATACTTAGAGCCCTTAGTATATGCTGCCTTTTATCATAATTATTTGTGTACCAAGTCTTATCTCCAGAACTAGACTCTAAATGTCCAGAGGTCAGGGATTTGAACTTCTTTGTTATTCCTGTTGCTTGAGAAAGGGGCCCGGCAAATATTTCTTAAGAGAATTACTGAAAATGAATGATACTAGTCATTCAGAAGGCCATAGGGATATGGGTCTTTGAAAGATTATGTGTGGAAAAGAGTTAGGGGTATAGGAGGAGACAGAGAGGAATAACCAGGAGAAGTTAAAATAAGAAGAGAAAAGAGCCCCAAGTTTATTGTTGGCCACTGCTACCTTCTCTCAGCAAATATAGAATAGAATCATACAGAGCCCCGGTATATATCCTATAGCTGTCCTCAAACCAACCCATCTGTCTTTGAGGGGGTGGGAAGAGACTAGGTGGAGAGGTTGGATACAATTGCATCTGAGCCCACTTTGACAAGGGGAACAGCAAAGGTCAGATAAATACATAAGGAACCTGGAAATAGTGGCTATAGGGAGCTTGGAGGATTGCTTTGTACCCACACATCAATGTTGGGTTAGGATAGGGGCTAATAACTAGTGGTTCATGGAGCTTTTTAAACACATATCTAGGACCCTCATTCAAAATAAACCAAAGAATCTTTATTCGTGTTGATTCTTCTCATTAATACACATTATGTATTAGGAATAGGTGCAGATTCTCCTGTTCCCTACACACTCTTCCTAGAGCACAGAGCCCCCATTGGGGCTTTCTTTCCTTAGCCATTGTTCCTATTTAGCGAATTTTGCCTCACCTACTACTACTATACATCCTGTATCCTTCCATCCCTACTCCCCTATCTGCCCTATACTTCCTTCCAAGGTTTTTCCTACCTTCCAAGGCAAATCTGTACTTCTAATGTGCAAATGACAGAATGCTATGGGAGGTATTCAGGATGTTCCCTCTAACCCTCCTAGGCTATACATATGTATTATAAGAGTCTTCTGAGGGAACAATAAGAACTTGGTCTTCCTCTTGCTGTATACTAACTTGCACAAAATAATGAAAATGTATAAATCAATAAACATAAAGTGAATGTAAAGTTTCAGACATCATGTGTCTCAACAGAAAATTTTAAGATCATAAGATGGCCTTTCTCTCTTAAAAGGCTACTGACTCTGGGTTAGGGAACAACATTCATAACAATAACTCAAATCTCCTTACTACATGTGTGACTTTGAGCAAGTCACTTTATTTCTCCGGGTCTCTGTTTCCTAATGTGTAAAGTGAGAGAGTTAGAGTAGATGGTCTATTTTTCAGGTCCCTTTCAACTATAACTTTAAGATCTTATTATACAGTGCTTTAAGATTACAAAAGCGTTTTCTTTGCAACAACCTTTTAAGGGTATAGTGTCTCTTGTCCCCTCCTCATATCCTCTCATTCTTATGCCCTTCAACTGAACATCATGTAATCAGAATTATGGTAGCTGTAGTATACTACACTGAGGTGACCCTCAAGTCATGACCCTCCTCTTTCCCAAGGAGTTTAGTGCCCAGCTCACAATATTCCTCTTCTTCCCAACTCCTGTCCCTATGTGAGAATAACAGGCATGTTGACACTTCTTCAACCTCCTCAAGCACTACTCCTTTATTCCATTTTACCACACATAAGGATCGTAACACACTAGAACATGCCATCACCCAGAAGCATTTCCACTTCTGTAACGAGAAACTTTGACATTCCCCATCTGCCCTCATTCTCCTCCTCCTCCCTCTCCCTGTGCTTTACCCCTCTTACTCCTGAACTTTGCCCCCATCCAAACTTTCATTTCTTCCACCTTTCTGTACTTTCTCAGGTCATCACTTTTGCTCTAGTGTCATTCTCCCCTCCTTCCATTCCTCCCCCTCCCCCAAGCTTCAGACTCACATCACATATTGCCACTGGACATACTCAAACCAGATATCCTTAATTCAATAGTGAATAATTTCAACCCCACCCTATTCTCTGCTCTCGAATTCCTTGCTCCTATGTCCCATCGTCGTCGCTCTTCTCTTGCCAAGTCTCAGCCCTTGATTACCCACTTTGTTTGCTTCCTTTGCTTCTATTCATGAGTTGCTGAATGAAACTAGAAAAAAGTTTCACAACCCTGCTGACTGGGAATACTTCAAATTCGTGTTTTCCAACCTCATCCAGGCCCTCACTGAAGCAAGGCATTCTTTTTATTCATTCCTAATTGATTCCCTCACTCCTCACAGAAACTATTCCAAGCCCTTTCTTCCTCTTCAAGATTCTTCCACCTCCCCCACCGCCCCCCCCACTTCCTTAGCTGAGGACCTTGTCTCTTACTTTACTGAAAAAAACCAAGGCTATTTGTCACAGGCTCCCTCTTTTCCCATTATCTTCATCTCCAGTGCCGTTACCTCCCACTCTCTCCTTTTTTTCCTCAGTCTTTGACAAGGACTTCATGCCAAGGCTATGCCTTTACATATGAACCTGACCTTCTTTCATCCTTTCCCATCCAGCAGACTACATCCTCAGTAACCCCCATTTTCTTTTGAGTCTTCAACTTCTTCCAATTAACTGGTTTCTATCCTATTACCCTCAAATATGAGGGCCCTTTCTCAGCAAAACTTGTTGAAAAAGCTGCCTAATTCCAAAGGACCCATAATGAAAAATGTTATCCACTTCCAGAAAGAAAGAACTGGTAAACTCTGAATGCACACAATAGTATACTTTTTTAAAAAAGAAAACCTTATTTTTCTTGTTTGTGTGTGTATATTTTCTTTAGCAACATGGCTAATGTAAAAATGTGTTTTGCATGACTTTACATGTATAACTGATATAAATATTGCTTGCCTCCTCAAGGGGCGGGGGAGGAGTGGGAGGAGAATTTGGAACTCAAAAGTTTAAAAAAACGAAGTTTAAAAATTTTTTACATATAATTGGGAAATATTTAATTAAATAAATAAAAATATATTTTAAAAAAGAAATAAAAGCTGTCCACACTGACTATCTCCACTTTCTTCTCACTCATTCCTCAGGCCTTTATAATATGGCTTTTGACCTCACCATTCAACTGAAACTGCTCTCTTCAAAATTACTAATGATGTCTCATTTGCCAAATCTGGTGTTCTTTTCTCATTCCTAATCCTTCTTGATCTATCTGCTGCATTTGACACTGTTGACCACTGTCTCCTTCTGAATACTCTTTCAGTTTTTGTGACATTACTCACTCCTGGTTCCCCTCTACCAGTCTGATCATTCTTTCTCAGTCTCCTTGCTGGGTTTTTATTCCCACCAATCTTCCTAACTGTGAGTGTTCCCCAAGGTTCTGCCCTGGGTCTTCTTTTCTCCCTCTATAATCTCTCAGTGACCTTATTAGCTTTATAGGTTTAACTATCATATCTATGCAGAAAACTTACAGAGCAACACATGGAGCCCCAGTCCCTCCCTCAAGCTTCAGTCTCACATCACACAGTGACTATTGGACATTTCAAACTAGATATCCCAGAGACATTTAAAACTTGTACTCATTATCTTTCCCCCATTAACCCTCCTTTCTTCTAAACTTCTCTACTTATGGCACCACCATCCTTTCAGTCTTCCAGGTTCATAACCCTGGGATTACGCTTAATTTCTCCCTGTCACCTGCCACATTTAATCAGTTGCCAAATCTTATCATTTTTATTTTCACAACATCTCTCACACTTAACCCCTTCTCTCCACTCATACAAATACATCTTCAGTTCAGGTCTCCGTAACCTCTTAGCTAGATTACTGCAACAGCCTAATTGGGGACCTCAAGTCTCTTGTCTCTTGTCCATTTTACACATTATGGATCAAGTAATTTTCTTTAAGCGCATAGCTGATCATGGGTCTGCCCTATTCAATCAACTCTAGGGACTTTTTATTGCCATTAGAATGAAATAGAAATGCTTCTGTTTAGCTTTTAAACCCTACACAATCTGGCCCTAACTT